TAACCAATCATTACTACTTGTTGATTATACAATTAATAACAAATAAAAAAAAAAAAAAAAATAAATGAATAAAACGCGTTTCATAATTTTTTTTTCTCAGTACATAAAATTGCTGATGGTTGTTCTAAATAAACAATTACTGGTCTTACTTTAATTAAATGTTATGTTCACAGGTTTGTTATTTACATTTATTTGTTTATTACGTTCGTACTTCATATTATTTTTATTTAAGTGAAAGAAACAATAAATGTGAAACGCGTTTATTTCATTCACAGCTTATACTTTACATTATTCATTTAGCTGCAGCGCAATGAATTAAATAGTTTTCACAAGGTCGACTTGTCTTAAGTTTTGCACTGTATAATTTGTCAAACTCAAGTGCTGCACCTATTTTTTGTCATAGTATTATACCTGGTGTCATTTTAAGTTTACGTAGGCACATTCAAATTTTTCCTCTAGCTGCTTTTACTATTAGAATATTATATTAACGATACTAAACAATTCAGTTCGCAATTTAACTTATTTTTCTATTTTTGATGGGCTTAATATTTTTATCATATTAAAAGCTTTTATTGACAAAATTCGTAAAATAATTCAACGATTTTTTTTATTAAATACGAGAGTGGGTTTCAAGTAATCTTTGTGAAATAAAATAAAATAAATAAAAATAATTATTGAAAATTTTATAAAAATAATACATTTCAAATACTTGATTTTATTTTATTTGTAACATTTTAGTATTTATGTTTAATAGACAATGTATGTATATCATATAATACATTCTAGAATTATTTATTCTAGCCTATTAGGTATAATTTGTACAAAATACATTTTAAATTCAAATAAAATAGCATACAATAGGTGTCATATCACTCATATATTCTAATCTAATTTAACCACTCATATTGTATTTGCATTTTTGACACCGATCAACAAATAAACACGGTCTTGGGTGGAATATGTTAATGGCGCTGTCAAAATAGAAGAAGCTCTAGGCCCACCTCTATCCAGTTTTTCTGATTTTAATTCGTAATTTAAATGTATAATATTACGTAGAATTATCATAATATCATTAGCGTTACTTATGTATTCATATAATTAAAAATTATAGTGATTCGCATGTCTACTCATGCAGACTGTTAAGAGATGTGTGCTTTTTTATAAATAATAATAATGTATTATTACAATATTATTTTACTGTTGCTCTAACGTTTTTTGACTCTTTTGTTTTTATAAACTGTTTTCTTTTGTTGTGAAGTTACAAAGAGCTAATAAAACTAACGAGAGATCTAGTTTGTAAGAATCGTCGTTGTCGTTTATTATTTGTACATAATGTAAATGCGTGCCGTCTGTATCTACACGACGAAACGTCGTGCCCGCCAAGAGAAGTAGGTCAAAAATGTCCGGTCGATTGAGCTCTGGCGTTGCTGCTCTGCTGCATTTAGTGTATCACGTAATCTGTATTTGATGGAAATTAATTTTCAGTTTACATAATGTCAATAATACATGTATATAGCGCATTAGGGATATATATATTATATACCTAATTTAGCCTATTGGCCGAAGGCAGCCCCCTATTATTTCACTGTAGTGGCAGTAATGTGATGTATACGTCCGTCTATCCTAACAATTACAGCGGTGGCCAAGTTTTTTCTAGTCATATTATTTATTTCTTCTCTTACGTCAGTGAAAATAGACAATAGTGTGAAAAAAAATACGACTAAAACGAATATTGCGTACAGTATAATATATTATTATAATGCCACATAGTGGTGTATAGTTAGTTAAGTTGCATCGAAGGCTGAGATTTATGGGTTAGGCCGCCGCAGTTGTGGCCGGTGGGTGGGTAGTTGCAACCCGGAAAATCGTTGCGCGCATTTCTTGGCTCGAGTTCAGGTGCCTCCGTCGTTGTACGCGTATTTTTTTTTTATATTTATTATGTTACGTGTATTCTTACTACTCGACTGAGGGTCGGCCAAAATTGGCAACATATAAACATTTTAAACTATCGGGACAGGTGCACTCGTTTTACAGCTAAAAAATCTCTTCGTAAGACCATATAAAATATTATGCCCGCGAGAATATGCTTACGCATTTTGATCAATAATATTATTATATTCCGTGGGAGAGTAAAAAATAAAAATAACGTAGGTACCTACTACAGTTTTTTCAATCCATTGGGCGTTGCGTTATAAGTAGTGTCACAGTGGAAGTTTAAAACGCAATTATTTCAAAATAGTTTCATATACGCTTTATAGAACATCAAGAAATTATTGATTTTCTTTACTGCTGTAATAATATTATTTAAACAATTATTATAATTATTATTTATCTGGACGTCAAACTATTGATTTTATAATGTAGTTATATTTTTAATCAATTATTAATATTATAATGTTAGTTTAAATTTAAATATAGGTATTTGATGACTGTATAATGATATGCATGGCACCTAGGTGTTATTTTTACTATAATTCCTGTGATATTTTAAATGTTATTAATAATAAATTAATTAATAGTTATAGAATTTAATAAGAATAATGTTTTTCGTATATAAAATAAATAAAAACTTATAACAAGCGTAAGAAATTGAAAATTAGATTAAGAATAAAGAAATGTTGATACAACTTTTTTTTATGATAATAATTAAATCCAATAGAAAATAATTTACAGTTTTTCAATACTCAATGTTTATTAATATAATTTATAGTAATTTATTTAATAATTATCATTATATCATTATGTTTTTATTTAATATCAACTGCCATTTATACGCACACTACGGAATATCACTGATGCGAAAAAATAATAATATTCAATTATTGTTTTTTAAGACCTTCAAGTATTTCTCGAAATTTAATATGATATTAGTCTTATTGTTTTAAAGCTTAAATAATGAATGGTGGGAGTATTTCAGTTATAGTTGTACATATAATGTATTGTTTGAGTAACTTTTAGGATAGGTTAGCTATGGTTTAATATTAACATGTCCTTTAGAATATTACACGAAAAAAAAAACGTAATAATAATAATCATAATAATTGTAATTAGCTATTATTAACATGGTGTTTTACAACGGATTTATCCCTCGGTCTATGAAATAGGTAATTTGCGTTCTTTCTTTCATTCGTTGATTTTATGCTATAGTTTTTGTATATTATAATTAAAAAAAAAAAAAAAACATTGTACCTTAATCATATCGTACCTTCATTAGTCATTATTATTATTCCATATTTATTAAGATGTTTTTAATATACCTAGGGGCTTTCACATATTATGTGGTAAAAATTATTCAATTTAAATATCACCAGGGGCTACGGATATATTCATGGTAACCTAATCAATGTATTGTACTTTATTAGATGATTTTTCTATCAAACAGCACTCATTATTTCAAAATCTAAAAAAAATTTTAAGAATATTTTTTTTTTTTATAGTTCTTATTTTTTTTTAGTTGAAATAAAATAACATTTTTTTAATAGTTTTTTTCAAATTACCTTGTATGTGATATAGTATTATATGTAAAGAATATAAATCTATAATTTCTTAAATCATTGATATTAACCAGTGCTTGCATTTTTGGGGGATAGACAGAATCCGTCACTACTTAAAAAAATTTTTTAATCAGGGTATTAAATTGTTTTGTGTCTATTTTTTGATAACTCGGTATGTTATAACCTCAAAAAAAAATATTCCCTAAAATTTCTGTTATGAGTAATTTTAACTAAGATTACTCAAAAGCATAAAAAAGACGATTTTGCGTGGGTGCGTTGTGTCTATGTTGACTATTAGTGAGAAAATAGTATACTGACTATCCTTTAGATGCGTTTATTCGTAACATTGTGTGGTGATGTACGTAGTAAGTTTAACCTTCAGACACTATGAACGATTGAAACTCGTATACGTATACTGTTTATGAATTATGATATATATTATTCGGTTTATTTGTATATAATATATATTATATATTATGTTATTTACATAAACTTAATGTTTCATGTAGATTATTACAAAATGGCCCATAACCGCATTAGGTGGTGTGGTAGCGACATTATAATAATATTATTACTCTACGGTCTATGGTAATATTTATTATATGGGTTAGATTACTTGTACATTGGCAAGTTGTTGTATTATTGTTATTAAAGTTTCCCAATATTTATACGACTACGTGGCGCGTGCATAATGTATTATTATAATATAATTTATTATACGTTACACCAGACGTGTTGCGGTCAATAATATCCGCTATTATATAGAGAATACTTATAGTAGGGCGTAGGTACTGAAGATTAGTCGTTTGTTAGAGATAGTTCAGTTCTCTTGTCTGCGAGCCAGCAGTGTGCGAATCCACTGCGTTATCGTTGCTTGATAATCCTTATAGATTATACAGTTACGCTTTACTACTACAGTTATGCGTATTCAACAAAATTGTACTAATAACAATTGAAAAGGCCAAGTACATCATTTTCATTCAAAATCACTGTAATATTATTTACTTAATAATGACCAGTATGACTTTATTTTCTGTAATAGATTGTCTAAAAACATCTGATTGGTTGATTTTTTTAATTTGCATTGGGGATAGGGGGTAAATTCAAAAAATAATAAAATATTGACCATGATGTAATATTTTAGTCTATTGACTATTTGTAAATATATTTTCTCATACCAATTAGTAGTAATACTTTATTTAACTTATTAATATGTAATGACATTTTTCATAACTTAATAAACTAATTGTATACCTAGTGTTAGTTCTAAGTTGGCTGATCAATAGTTACTTCTTAATACAATATAATATTCAAGCTTGATTAATAATTGATATTATTATACTTGAAGGAAAATTGAATTTGTTTTTTATATTTTTTTTAAGGAAAACGGCACATGAGCTACGAGGAAAATGAATACGTTTATAATAATAATAATAATAATATGTAACCTAATACCCACTACAAATGTCGTAAATCGTTATGGCGTTATAGGAAAGCTAAATGCTGGTTCGATTTCTGTTGAATTTATTTCTGTTTAGTTGGTGAATATAAATATTGCAGCACGTGACCGCTGAATGCACATTGTGTGTGCGTAACTAGAAATAGAGAACAAAAAGGTACATAATATAATAATTATATTTATAGCCGGACTATAATTAGCAAACTTGTATTGTCATATTTATTTACCGCTACTACTAGGTACACGCACACACACGATAGTATATAACACGTCCTTGGCAGCGACAACCACTTTCCGTGGTTAAATTTTTACGGACACAAGTCCTGACTTCTATAGAAAAAAAAATAAATAACGCATTATTTGTTACGCCTGTTCAATACTTATATTTAAATTGTTTGGTCGTTTATGTTTGTTTAATAATATTATAAACCGTTCGATTTTTCAGAACATTACAATATGATTATGATAATATTGCTACGTAGCTCTAGTAGTACTATTTTTCTCGGTCACGATCTCGTAATATTAAACATCTAAATTGACTCGATGACTACGATTCAATAAAAGGTTTACATTTTTTATTCTTCCCTCAATATATACCGTGCATTTTTTTTTAGTATATTATAATTTATAATATATAAGTTATAAAATATAAATATAAATCGTCATGATGTTCGTGACATTGTCGTGTCCGTGCCCGCTTGCTTGAACTATATTTAAAACCGCTCGAAATCCATATTTGGATATTGAAGTATAAAAGTATAATGTTATTATTTTGTGAATCATATAATGTGATTCAAATTAAAACGCTTTTCCTGTGTACAGTCGCGCCGTTAGATACATAATATACGCTACTCAATGCTCTATATTAAAGATACGTGTTTTTATTTTTACAAACAAAATAATACAATTTTTTAGATCGATTACTCGTTGAATTCGAAACCGGGTTAACGCATAAGGTTATACATCGTGGCGTGCGCATGTACTTGTACGATAAAATAGTTACGTAAGTCTGGAATGGATGATACACATTGTGTTTAATGTATAATCTATTCTGTATTATTTCTATCCCGTACCGTAGTCGCTGTCTTGTGTGTGTGTGTTATCGACGTGATGAGAATGGGACGAACGAACGCGCCTTGATCGCATAATAATGTGCCACGGCTATAAATTGTTGATCGTTATGAATGCGTACAGATACAGTTTTCGTTTCACGTCATTTTCTTTTTATTTAACATGTGAACGGAAAACTAGATAAATTTACATGTTGTGCACAGTTACATACAAAAACGGAGCCCTACGACATGCCATATTATTATTATTATTATTATTATTTGACGGCTTCCATTCGGCTCTTTCGATATTAATTGTTCTTGTACACTTTTTTTTAAATTTTTTTTTTTATAGACGGCTTATAATTTATTTACTCACGTCAATGTGTATCATACTCGTTAATATTAATAAATTTTTCGTGACAATAATATTCTGGTCGTGTCAACGCCCGGCAGTCGTCTCGGTCCGCTCCAATTACAGAAGATCTTGCTGTTCTCATTTTTTTGTGTTCAATATTATTAACGTGTGACGTGTATATATAATACATCATACATGTCGAATGCGACATCTCTCAATTATGTCTCCGAGAAACTACGTTTCTAAACAAACGTAGTCACAGATGTTGTTCAACAATATTGAATACTTTGATTTTGAATAATATAATATATGATAGTATAAGCACTACATTTAATGATGAATATCAAATTGTACAAAATATCATAATATAATATACATTACAGTGTAGCGATTGGACACTAAGAACTTGCAGTTATGTCAGAAAATCAAAATTTCCACAGTTCATACCGTATTTTTTAATGTTTGTTTGAAATAGTACGACTAATAGAATGGCTATTTGGGATCATTCATTATTGGCCAATTGCCTTACAAAAATGTCAATAGTAAATTACTGAAACTTATTAAAATTTGCACTGATTAATATATAACTTAAAAATATTTTAAAAATACCCTTGTGAACCACTTTAAGCATTATAATATATTTATATACACACCGCGTGTGTCTCGTATCGTTCTAAGAAATATGAACCCAATGAGACACATCAGTATATTTGAATTTGGATTATTGAACAAAAATGTATAACAATTTTAATTAAAAGGCACACTATTCCCTTGCATGTTGTCTGTCTCCTTACAAATGTATAAAGTACCAAATTTGCGTTAAATTGTGTGTTATTGGCTTTGTATAAAGTGCGAATTTTCCTATATATTCAAAATTAAAGGTAAGAACATTATCAGTGTTCTATTGTTGGCTTTTTACGATATTTCAATTTTTCAGTGAGTTAATTATAAACATTTTTAAGTTTCAATATTTTACATACTAATAATTGTTTTATAAATTAAAATATGAAATATCTTAATAACTCAACGATAGAACACAGATGATGTTCTTACTTCCAAGCTTAAATTATAATTCAATTCATTTTAATGTTTAAGTTAACGGTATAAAATTAGTTCTGCTCAACTTCAATTTTGTATATTTTATGTAAGATGGAGACAACATATTCAGGTGTGGCGTCCTCTTTATAGGGTATATATTTCTTATTTTAGATTACTGTATATTATTGAATAGCAAAGGAGAAAATTTGAATGCAATGTTTTAGAAATGCATACTGCGTAACTAATGTAGTATTATTGTAGATATAGTAAATACGATATACTTACAAATAGATGTTAGAAACTCACTGTTTTCTTTAGTCGGCAAACACTCTTGGAAAAGGATAGAATTCTTCGGAATATTTCTGCTGTAGGCTACACCCTGAATTTTAGGTATACGTGTCGCCGCACGTACCACATTTTAATCGGTATAATGTTATACATCTTTTATACGATTTCCTGGGCATCAAAAATTCCTTCACTCTCCACGCACCCCCACGACTACATCCCAATGGACGTAGACCAATGTCTGCTTCATCCCCTTGCGGCATTCCAGTCAATTAAATTGGTTTGCCATCCGACAATCATGCAGCCCGCAGGTCAAAATGCGCAGCCGCTCCCATCGCAATGGTATTCGTCATGTATTGATATATATATACTGTATAATATACCTAAATGTTATGTATAACATAATAATATAATGCTATTAAATAGAAGACTGCGCGACAGATGGTATATTGGTCCACAGGATACGCTGCAGCGATGATGCACACGAAGAGGAGACCTCTCTCGATCGCTTGCTTTACTCTACTGCTGCCGGTCCTTTGTGTTGTTTTATATGCGTACGTTGTATATTGGGTAGGTATTTTATAGTCTGTCGTACGCGTTTTCGTCTCGGAATTCTGAATTTTATTACTCCGCAGGATGTCTCGATGGTCGGTCGATTTGCGTTTTGTATGTGCCTCAGAGTATTGTCGACCCTTGAAAATACCTCGACCGCAACGACGACAACGACATTCCATCGCGTGCACCTAAGTTAGGGGGGTGGGGCGCACGATGCAATAATCGTGAGTGACAACAGTAGTTTTTGGAAATCATTATTATTTTTTTAAATTAATTGTAACAGTATACTTTATGTTTTTGCGTTTTGATAAAGTTATAATAAAGTTGTAAAAAACTAAATGCATTAGTCTCATAAAGTTCAGTTAAAATTCTCTGTATAAGAGATAATAAATAATCATAATTTAAAAAATTACAAAAATTTATCAAACGTAAAATATTTTTAATTAAAGATATTATTAATTAAATACACCGTGCGCATGAAGAATGTATAAAATATTAATGACGAAAGTTAAAAAAAATAATTTATAAATTATATGTATACAAGTTTTAATTAATGTAAAACAATTAAAAATGTTAATAAAAAAGAAAAATTGAAAAAAATAGAATAAGTTTAAAAATTGATTATTTTAGTACCTAATTTTAACTTTAATAAGGAAGCTATGTTTACTATATGATAAAAATTATTTATTTTTCTTCAAATTCACAGCCCTATAATGGATAATAAAAGAAGATACATTTCCTTATAAACCTTCTGGTTGGTGTCTTAAAATAGATTTCTGTGGTAGATGAGGTTTGAATGTTTTATTCGTTGATTTTAAAACGATGGAAAGCTTCTTCAGTTTTATTTAGATTGTCTCTCTATTATATCATTATTTATTTTAATATGTACCTAGCTTTATATAAATTCAATAATATATAATATTATGGATTTGACTACGTAGAAAAGTATGATGAAATTTTCACGTGGTTTAAATTCGTAAAGTTACAAAATCCATTCTAAGTATTCGATCTTCTATATTAACATGCTTAAAAATTTGTATTTTGAAATGAAAAAATAATATAATTGAATAAAAACCGTAGGGCTGGAATGGAGTGTCAAAATGTGGATTGTGATCGATTTAATATTAGGTGCATACTGCATAAGAGGTCAATTTTATTTATTTTTTGTCACCGACGTATTTATGTTTTTTTGAGACCAACGTCTTCCGTTACGACCTACGTGGCGCCGACGATGGTCGAGCCGGATATTCTTATAGGCTTGGCGTGTCATATTATTCATGTAGAACATGAGATGACCATAAGTACAGTAATAATAATAATAATAATAATAATAATAATAATAATAACGATGTGTATTACCTAATGGTGTTTACAGAATATGTTTGTAGGAGGGGGTAGTAGTGTGTTGGTACTACTTGAATGACACAGTATTTAATTGAAAAAAATGTTTATATTCAATTACAATAGTATTCAAATGTGAAACACATTCAATTTGTTTAAAAAAAAATTGTTATATACTCTAGTACACTTAAAATTAAAATAATGCATTCATAAATTACTGAAGTCTGTAGGTACTTAACTATTGGTAACGTAAAAAAATAAATTAGTTAATGTACAGTGTATATACTATATAGCATTAGCATTGTACATTATAACCAAATAGTATATAGTTCGTTTACTGTAGGTATATATTATATACTAGTATACTACAAATCACTTATGTAGTACAAAAGATTTAAAATAGTTGATTATAATTTATAACCATATATGTCCATTATATTAACAAATTTCTATTATAATATATAATGGATATAAATTGGATTATATATATTATAATATATGGTGTATTATAATTTATAACTAATTAACTATTTCGCGTTTGTTTAATTTATATTTTATTGCCATTACTACTTAGTATTTACTGTTTGTATTCGAAACCTTAAACCTACCGACTTGATTTGTATCGTACTTTTTTCCGCGGTCCCAAGATACTGTTAGTATTATGCGTTATTGCTGCTGTTGTATAATAATTGATAAATATATTAATATATATATATAGGTATAAACTACAAGGTGTATCACAATGTTATAAAGCCAAAAATGTATAAAATATCCAAATTTAATTTCTATCCAATATGTTCAGATCTTACTGATACACCCTGTATGATAAACATAACTAAACGCGTGTTTGTATATGAATTTTTAAGTTTTAAATATCACTTCTAATTTCCATACGCACGAGGTTTGTTTTCGTATAATTTTTTACTTTCAGTATCTAAATTTCAATATCATACACAATGATCTAATAAATACGTATATAGGTGCTTGCGAATAGTTATTTAAATTAAGGCCTAACTAGTAGATATCTCTCATGTTAATATATAGAAGTATTATAAGAACCTTAACATATTTTTACATATTTTATTTGTAATTTGAAAAAAATATATGCGATGGATTTCTTTACATAAGTTTACGTAACAGGTTGTGTCAACGTTGTTCTTCTCTACAATAGCAGGCGACACGTTTTCCGGCAACCTTTTTTATTTAATTTTTTCTCTTATTATTCTCAAATTCAAACTTCCGCCGAATTTTCAAAATGTATTATTCATAAATTGGCGGTATTCCGATAACGCCATTGAAGTTTAACCCAACGCGCGGGAGAGAATTTATGATGAATTATTCATAATATTATAGGAGTATACTCGTACATTATGTACACATTTCAATCGGAGATTCGCGTGGTGTACAATAATTAGCAGTCATACGCGGCACTACACCAGTGGCTATTCATCGTCGGCCGTCCTTCTTATCTGCAACGTTGGCCAAAAAAAAAAAAAATCAACAAAAAACGTGCGATACATTTCTAACCGTCTGCATGTATGTATAATATATATATACGAATGCCGACTTGCGAACAATCATAAATGCGCGCCTGCAAACTAATTCACACTTGTGACTTGTCCAGTTGTCCGTACCGCAATAAATCGTATACATTTTAGATGCTACATTATTTTTTATCATTAATCTATAATAATAATAGTAGGTAAAAGTTTAGTTTTTTCAATATTCGTATATTGGCGAATAGATAGATACACTTAATAAATGTCTGGTACCGCGTGGTATAAACAATATACGTCTATATAGAGTCTTGTGAGCTGCAGGAACTTCAAACCGTTTTATTACGTCGTACGTGTTATTTTTGTAAGCGAAATTCCTAAAAATAAAAGAATCATATTTCTTTATTATTAAAATTTGGTAGGTCATATCATGTTTTAATATTATATTGCATAAATAATAATTACGTGTAAACATTTTTTTTTCACATCATTCTCGACCACAGTGTACTTATGGTTTTTTAATTCTCGTTTTGCAGTGGATTGTGATGATAGGCCTAGAAGGAGGCGCGCGTAACGGCGGCACCACCTCCACTAGCACGGCACGTCAACATGCGGCCCAAGCGATGGACTATTACAACAGCAATGTGTTGCGGGCCCGCACCAACGCCGGCCTGTCGTCGACCCGCGGACAGCAGCAGAGGTCTGTCCAGGATCCGTTGTACCGGAGCAACTCCAGTCTGGAGCTCACGCACCACTCAGACTACCACCACCACCACCACCACCACCTCCATCATCACCACCATCAACAACAGCAACAGCAGCAGCAGCAGCAGCATCGTCAACAACGCGGTGTCGGCGCCGGCCACCACTTTGGCGGCAGCTCGGCGTACGTCGACTCTCGGGCTGCGGCCACTGACCGGCCGATGGCCAGCCCGCTGTTGAAACGAGAATACGGTAGTCACGGTTCCATCGACGTCATATCTTCGGACCGGAATTCGGCGGGCAGGGCGTCCGCCGGCGAGAACTTCTTCGCGCTGCTGCAGGACTACCGCCCCACCGTGTTGGACATGATCGACGGAAACAGTGAGTTTGTTTTTAATACGTCGTCCTGTCTAATCATTAATCTAAGGCTAATCCTCCCCTCCGCGCTCGGATTAAAGACCATTGTGCTCCGGAACATAATAAAGCACTTACTCAGTGGTTGGCCACTTAAAAAATTCAATTTTCTCGATTATCATATTCAAAAAAAAAAAAAAAAAATTACTACCTTTTTTACATTGGTATTAGAGAAACAATTAACAAAACTAGCAAATTACCCGAGTAATTCAATAGAAATTACGTTCATAAATTATTAAACAAAGATATATTAATACTTTGTGGTAAAAGCGAATAACATTACTGCTATTGCAGTAACACTAATTATATTTTAAGCGTTACGACACTATACTATACTGTTACCTAATGTGTGTTGATCAAAAACACCTAATATCAATTAATAATTTATTGTGTTAGTATACATAACTACGAAGTAATACCACGCACCTACATATTATGTGCACTACATGCATAGTTGAATTGCTACATTATTCACAATCCCGTTTTCACTAATTTAGAAACTTAAGAAGACCCCAAACCACCGTAATTCATCAATGTAAACGGTTTTAAGCGGTACACATTTTCAGAGATAGTATTCGCAGTAGCCTTATCAAATTTTTATCACACATGTAAAATAAATTTATGCATGTTGTAACGTTTTTATTTTTATAGCTTAAAGACAATCTAAAGTGTTTATTTATATCGATTCATTTTTTTCTACTCTTTTCATTTATTTACTAAATATTATTGAGTACTTATTAATATGTACGTATAAAAAAATAAAAACGTTCTGGCACAAATAAAGTCCTCTTCTATGTAGTGTGAAAATGTGGTAAATCTATTGTAAATAATATACTCACAAGTTCGTCCTGTGTGAATCTGTTATTTTATATAATTTAATTATTACGCAAGGATCATTGTAGGTATACCTACTTACACGAAACTACTTTCAAAATATTTGTTTAACTAATATTTAAACATATTTCAGGTAAACATTTTTATAACAGAGAACTGATTTAAATTTGTAATTAAGTCTATTGAAGATCAGATTTTTTACATTCTCAAATTTTTAATGTCAACTTCGAGTTAATTAAATTGATTAAATTTAAAATTTTTCAAAAATATGAGTATAATAATTTTTTCAAATTAACTTTTAAGAATTTGAGGTGATAAAACTATAAATTATAAGAAATTCACTCATAAGCAGACTTTAAAAATTCATATCAACACGTTTTTTGTAGAATTCTTATTGCTTCAGTATAAATCAATCAATATGCTGGAAATCAAACACTTTTAAATTCCCATACATTACGTATGCGTTAAAGTTGTTAAATTGACAGAAATTCCCTGTACTATTTCATACAATGTATTTATTTTTTTATTAGTTTAATCATACAAGTTATTTACAAGTTATTGCTATCAAATATAATTGTATCGTAATAATAATTTATAATTTAATCATTTTTCTTACTATATACGATTTGTGCATTTTTTTATTTTGTTCTTTAAAAAATGTTTTGAATGCAGAACTGTGTGTCTTCTATAGAATACTTAACCTCCATCCGGGCTTGCTCATAATATCATCACGTACAGTCGTTGGGCGTGCATATAGCATATTATTTACATTTTATTTTTCATCGAAGTTCAAACGCTACCGTTCCTTACACCGTTTTATTGTTTCCGCATACAGGTAACAACCGAGAATTCGCGTACCGAGAAATGCCGGTCGACACGCCGCCCGATGATAGGATTGCGTCAACTGTGACGATGAGTAACGGCGGTACCGGTGCGGGTGCCGCAGACAAGACGACCACGTCGCCCCAAGGTCCTAACTCCAGCAGCCCAAAGCTTAGGCTCAAATTCCACAAGTTTTGGGGAGCCAACAACAAGTTCTCCAGGACCACGGACGACGCGACTTCCGGCGGTCTGCCGGGCACTCCTGTTTCCAATGCACAGGTGGCGGGCGTTGGATGCGCAGACTTCACAGGCGATGAGCGACAGAAACGACGTGGCTTCGCCCATTACGACGTCCAATCTCTTACGGCCACTGTGGGCCTGGCATCAAAACTCCAAAACATGTTGTCCAGGCGGAGGAACACAGCCACTGGTGCTTCGGCCGCTTCCATGCTTGCCGCTAGGTCATCCACGCCAGACAGTGGCGACGAAGACCTCGGCGACGGCAAACACAACAATCTACTGGACAGGTACCTTTATTAAATCGATTTAAATGCGTATTAAACAATGGCATACATCGTCGTCGTTGTTATTGGTATAACGATTAACGAGCTTATGTACTTAAGTAAGTTTCGCGCTAAAAATAACCGCTCTGACTACAGCCTGCACAGTTGAAAAACCAAATTTATACAAAAGACAATATTTTACGTAACGTTATTATTCTTTTGATATCATGATTTAAAACAATGTTATTCGATTTTGAAAAACATAAAAATATGACGATTTTTATATTAATAATGATAACTTTTTTTGTATTAACAATATGAAAAATATAATAAAACGCTATGTCAAATATTGTCTATTCCTTACCCAGTATATAAATAAATTTGGTTTCATAATTATAACCGCATATAACTTGAGTGGTTCATTTTCGTGCGAAACTATTTTTCTATGTATTGTAATCTTGTTATTACGCAAAAACTAATGTAACGTGGTGTTGACATGCTAAGTGCATTGTTAATATATATTTTGAATTAGTTTTAAAATTATTAAAATAGCCTATAATATTTTCATTCCTCTAAATATGATGATTTTGTACTTGGTGATAGCTGTCCGTTCTTTCGAAACGAACTCGGCGGTGAAGTCGAACGAGAAGTGAGCTTGACGCAGAGAACCCAAGCTGGACAGATATCCACACTAAATAATGGAAAACTGTACCACAGGCCGCGTATGGCCTACGGTATATCGGTCCTCGAGTTTCAATCCGGAGAAACGCACTGGACCGACAGTATCTGCCCTGAAAAATATTCGAAATTGATCGAGACCACCGACGAAGGAGATTTGTATTATCGATCGTTCTTTTTCGGTCAAGGTAATATAATATTATACTAACATTACATTAAACTTTACGATAGCTACTTACTTCTGTACTAATTTAGTTAGTAGGTACTTTACGTAATAATAAATAATATTCAACTGTATGTCTGTATATTACTAGTAGGTAGCATACTATACTATACTATACTATACCCATAGGCTCCGTCAGGTTATTAGTTTGGGGTAGGAGGTTCATAATATAGGTACGCTGATTTCTAAATAATGTTTTAATATGAAGAAATATTTTTTCAAATCTTTAGACAATATAAATTATAATGAATAATTTTTTCGATGGCTACAAAGTGCAATGCGCGAGCTACTTATAGAAAATTCATTGAAATTTAAAAGTTCATTAAAAATACAATTGAGAAAAAAAAAACCGTTTAACCATTATTTAAAAAATACGTAATTTAATGGTTATTATGTTAAATAAAATATGATCACTACCATTCAATTTTTAAATTTTTTTATGAAAAGCGATTGTACCTATATCTTCGCAATTATTTACAAATGTAATTGCTAGTACCTACATGTTACATTCCTATATTTTATATTTACAACATCATATATTGCTTAAAATGTAAAACCATTGGTTTCCAAAGTTTTTTTTGGTGGAAACGAGAATTGTACCTTTTTTGTTTTTGGCGGAAAAAGGCTATGGCGAAAACGGGTAAATCCCGACCACTATACATACGACATAGATATACTTCGAAGCAATAAAACAAGACGTGATAAACTACATTAGGCCTTTATATTTCCCGGGATAATCAGTCCATCCAAACTGCACTGTCTTAAGTATAAATTGAATTCTCATACACGGTTTTAAATAGTCGCAACAATTTTTAAATATGAATATTAAATATCCTCCATATCACTCCGACACATCTTTAGCTTGGGATCAAAAAAGTCTTAACTCAGCAAATCTTTAAATATTTTGTGAATATGTTTATTAAATTAAACTTTATAGTACGTAGTACATGTATAATTTAACAGCGAATTTCTTGGTTTTGGATTGGTTGAATGAAAATGGTTCACCGACTGATATACACATATTGTTTCGAATTATTTTGATTTAAAAATTACATGAATGAAAAAGTTTCATTTTAATAAACACCAGTAAAATGTTTGCATTTAAGAGATATTAGGATGAACCGATAAAAAGTTCATTGAATTAAAATTTTGAATTTGATTTTCTGATAAAACTGAAAAAAACAAGAGAACTTTTTCATCACAATCTCACAATATGAGGTATGCGGTCATATACTCTAGATTTAAATTTTTAAGTTCTTATTTTTAAATACCTTAAAAAAACCAACAATAGTTATAATTTATTAAAATATTAACATTTATGACAAAATCTGCATTGATTACTTACCTACTAAAAAAAAAATTCTAAATGGTGTAGTTAAATGCTACTAATTGGCAATTGCAAAGAAGAAATTAAATGATTATCATTTAAATGTATTAATGAATACTTTAATAATAGTTAGAAGCATTTTAAATCTTTGTTTATGTGTATAATAACTAAGCTATAATTGGAATATATCATAAACAAAAAAATTAATTGTTTAGATCACCAGAATTGGTTTGGAATGGATGAGACATTGGGACCTGTTGCTATCAGTTTAAAAAGAGAAAGAGTTGAAACTGATTTAACATCTAATGGTTGTAGTTCAAATCCATTAGTTATGTTTAGATATCGAATTATTATCCGAACAAGTGAAGTAAATACATTTTAATAATCTATATAAATAAATATATTATATGTTTTTGTGTTATATTTTTTTTTTTAATCGTTTATTTTCTTTTATTTTTAGTTGCAAACTCTTCGTGGTTCTATTCTCGAAGATGCTATTCCTAACATCAAACTGTCCAGTAGTTCTAAACATATCAATACAAAAGATGTCTTAGAATATATTGTTCCAGAAATTCCTCTTTCATGGTAAAAATAATTTACCATTTAAGTTATTGAATGCATTATGATCATTAACTAAATATCAAACTTACATTATAGTTTAAGGATGGGCGTGTCAAGTACCAGAGTCGAAGAACTATTGTTAGGTCTAGATGAACAAGGTATTTCTCATACCTACAAAGTTGGAGTAATGTATTGTCGTGCTGGACAATTTACTGAAGAACACATGTACAATAATGAAGAAGCAGGATTAGCATTTTATCAGTTTATGGACAGTATTGCTCAAAGAGTACGACTAAAGGGTTTTAACAAATACAGAGCAGGATTAGATAACAAGAGTAAGTCTCCACTATAAAATCTAATTTATATTAAGATCATTTGTTGAGATCCTAAACGTTTTATATCTTATAGCTGATTCCACTGGACTTTATTCATTCTATAGTCAATTTCAAAACTGTGAAATCATGTTCCATGTGTCTACCATGTTGCCATTTACTCCAAACAACAGGCAACAGGTATATATATATATATATATATATTAATTTATATTTATAAAATGTATTTAATTTATAAAAAATTAAAAAAAATTTTTTAAATTGTATAGCTTCTTCGAAAGCGTCATATAGGAAATGATATTGTTACAATCGTGTTTCAAGAACCTGGAGCTCAGCCATTTTCTCCAAAAAATATTCGTTCTCAATTTCAACATGTATTTATTGTGGTCAGAGTTATAAATCCATGTACAGAAAATACTCAGTATAGGTAATAACCAATGACTTTTAAATGATCATGTAATAGTTTAAAGTAAGTTTTTTTTATTTTTAATATTTGTCAATCATAATTTTAGTGTTGCCGTTACAAGATCTAAAGAGGTTGAAATGTTTGGTCCTCCAATTCCCTCAGAAGCAGTGTTCAAGAAATCTAAAGAATTTAGTGACTTCTTATTAGCTAAAAGTAAATATAAATATAACATAACAATCTAATTTTGTTTTAAAATATTTGTTTAACACTTATAAACTTGCAGTTATTAATGCTGAGAATGCTGCTCATCGATCTGAAAAGTTTGCTACAATGGCAACTCGTACAAGGCAAGAGTATTTAAAAGATTTAACATTAAATCAATCATCAAATACTACTATTGAACCAGTGCAAAAGTTTTGTAAGTTAATTGTAATTTTAGATAACACAAAGAGTTTTAATTTAATTAATATTTTTTGTTACAGCAATGCTGTCATTTAGCAGTAAGAAAAAAGAGAGGTGGCGACCAAGATTTCAGCCTGACGCTTCTCAAAGAGGTGCTATTTGTTGGCAAGTAGTGTTAGAAGAAGGCAATGGAGTTATTGGTGGACACTGTCTTCTGGCTATATCATCAGACTCCATGGTCCTTGTAGAAGAAAATAATCATGACATATTATTAGTTGTACCTTGCAAGTCTATATTGGGCTGGACAACTCAAACTAATAGGTATGTATTTGTGGTGTCAATTGCTTTGTAAGCTTTAACTAAAATAATTAATATTTTTAAAATATAACACAATGTGTATATTTATTTATAGTTTACGAATATATTACCACGAGGGAGAATGTGTTACCTTGCATATGCATGAAGGTTGCAGTGACGGTGATAGAGATGAATTGATGGAAGTTGTAGTTAGATTACGAGCAGTAACTCAGGGTTCTGTTGCCCAGGAACTATCATTACACCGCAATTCCTTAGGCCAATTAGGGTTTCATGTTCAACCCGATGGTTTGGTTACACAAGTAGAAAAATCTGGCCTTGCTTGGGAAGCTGGTCTCAGGCAAAACTCCAGACTCATAGAGGTATGATGATATGACCTATGTCATGAGTACAGTTTTTAATTTATTTTAATAATTAATATTCAATCTTAGATATGCAAAGTAGCTGTTGTCACACTCTCACATGATCAAATGGTGGATTTATTGAAGACTAGTGTTCTTGTCACAGTTACTGTAATTCCACCTTTCCCGGATGGTTCACCCAGAAGGTATGTAACACATAGTATTATGTAGAATTATTAAACTGTTCAGTTCATTATATTTCAGAGGTTGCCATGTTCAAAATTGTTCCTATCGTGCTGACAACAGTAGTTCTCCAAAAGGATATGAGAGTGAATATGAAAATGTTGCAGGTATGTCAGCTGTAACTAGTCCTAGAAAACAAACAGCTCTGCAACAACCAGTTACTGGCAATCATAGAAAAATGTATGTAGTAGCTATTGTAAATAATGTCTCTTGAATTTTATTGATTTATAGTTCTTAATATTGTGATAGGTATGAACGCAGCCTGTCACCACCAAGGTCTAGCAATAGTTCAGGTTATGGTACCATGGGCAGTAATAAATCCTATACAACACCAATGGATACTCGTTTTCCTCAAAATCCTGAGGTAAGTTATACAAATGGTAGTTAAACAGTTGGTCCTATGATCCATTGAGTTGAATTGAATAAGTGAATAATTAGTATAAATAAATCTCGGGTTAAGTAGTTAGTCAAGTCCCAAAAAATTTTTATTTTTCATTTTTCATTTTTACAGAAATGTTAACAGATGTCAATTATTATGTTTTTATTGAACATATCATTAATGATATGATTAAAAATATTCATTATTAATTACTATAAAAAAAACACTTTTTGATTTTTTTCACATTAAAATTTACTAATTGTTTAATAATTATTCATTGACAAAAAATTATTAGAAACTTTTTTGATTAACTGGTATCGAATTAATTTTTTATTACCATAGGCTATTAAAGCTATTTAGGCTATTAAACTAATTTATTTCCATCAGGCCTGACTTAAACAAAAGGTAAAAATGTTGGCTTGCTTTAATTTAAATTTATTGCACTTAATTAATAATTCATGTATAGTTTATTCATAACTTTTTATATTTAATGTAGAAACAAACAGAAAA